TACTGGTAGTGACGGCCGCGGCGGCGAGTCCACCCGGTCGAGTCCGTAGCGGGGAAACGGGTGAGCCGAGATCGAGTTCTCGGAAATCGGGCTTGTTGAAATCGGAACTCACTGAGTCACAGAGCCGATCCGGGAGACCGTCGGAGGCAGAGTCTCTAGTGGGTTTCTGCGACATTTTCTCAAAAAATGGAAAAAAACCCAAATAGGTGTCGACGAATCTCACTCTCCTTAGGGTTTTTCTCCGGCCGGAGAGTAGCAACAATGTCCTTCAAATGGAGCAACGGCGACGAAGTTGGAAGTCGGAGACGACCAATGACAGGCCAATGCATCGACGGGGGGATAGAGAGAGAAAGCGAGATGGGGATCTCGTGAATTTAAAGGAGGAAGCAAAGAATGAATGTGAGTGCTTAGAGAGAGAAAGTCGGTTTGTGAGAGAGAGAAAGAGAAGGTTCACAGAAGGAGGAGCAGAAGGAGAAAGAAGAACGAGTTGATACATCTAATAATTAAATATAATTAGTAATTGCCGTATATATTAATTATTCGCATCCATTTATTTTGTATTTTCCATTATCCCCCCCTATCTTATTTATCATGAATAGAAAATCGAACTTTGTAACACAATCGGTTAAAATAATGTACGGATGACCCCTAATTTTTTCATTTAATTTCTGTAATTTACAAATATACTAATATCTCCATATTTTAAATCTATGTTACTTAGCATAGGATTTAACTCTTTTTATATCTAAATCCAAAATCTTTCAACCAGAATAAATACGTTTAGATTCGTATTAAAAGCAACATTATTCATAAAATCGGACACAATATTATTTTAAAATATCTGAAATTCCGTACTATAGTAATTTAATATTTTTTTAAGAAAATAAGTCTTCGTGTTTCATTTTTATTTTACCATCAGATTTATTTTTTTTACAAATATGAAAAAAAAAACACGGAAGATTTGCTCACTTCGCTTTCGGTACTGTTCCATTTTCTTTTGGCGCTTACATTGTCCCAAGGCCCACTCGCATCTCGTGGGAAGTGACCTCCACGCTCCTCAAATATTCATAAGATTCATTCATGTCTTGAGAAAATTTTATCATATATGCTTGGACATTTTTGTTCGACTATATAAAAACATGAATGGATTAATACATACTTATATATTTAAAGGCGATCTAAAAATGAATTAGTTATAATTTTTGAAACTCGAGTTAATAAAGTTTAAATATAATATAAAATAGAGACAAATAATGCAATAAAAATTTTAAAAACGAAAATCAAATTAAAACTGAATTTTTAAAAGAAGTACGAATCAAATTAGAAATTACCGTAAAATCAAATCAATAAATAATTATACAAAAGGAAAAAACTTATACTGAAACGATCTCAAAGATCTATCCATAATATTTTATTTTGAAAACTATATTCTAAGAAGTGAAAAAACTGAAATTAGATGATATTTAACGGTAAAATATTTTGGGTATAATATTTTTTAAGTTTTTAGATTTTGTAATGAATACACATAACACATTATAAAGCAATATTAATTTGTTTTTTGGGGGTTCATGGCACAAGGTTAACCAACAATTAATGAAACATATAGTATGATACCGAAATCAATGTGACATCACGTAATAAATTTCCTTGGAGTTCGCACTCTTTTGCAATTGCCTTCTTTTGCACGAGATTTCTTTTCTTCATTTGGCAACCATTTATTTAATTCTACAACGTTTTTATCATAAGATATATTTTGGACCTTAGTTAGATTTTTATTTAAAACAATGATGTTAACTTAATTTTTGTTTTTTCATATTTATTAAGTTAATTTAATAAACATTATAACTAATTAATATTTAAATCACATCTTCATATGTACACAATTGTTTTAATTCGATTGGTTGGCGTTTGAACTGAAATAATATTATATATATAGATATAGATATCATAATCACATTTTCATTAGTCTTGAAAATAAGACATTGTATGTATGTATGTATGTATGTATGTATGTATGTATGTATGTATGTATGTATGTATGGTGACTTTTGAAAAGACATACCAAAACAAGAGATAATGTCATACGATTCAGACGTTGCTTGTACAGAATAATATATGGTTAGTTTCATGACATTTTCATCGAAATCTATCAATATGTAACCTCATGCTTATGTTTTCACTTTGTCATGTTCCCCGATGGGTAAATCTTTATATATATATATATATAGCTCTTCGTAGTTGTCTTATATATATATATATAAAGAGACATTTGTTTTGTTTTTATGAATGGTACTCTTACTTAAATAATATTTACAAACCTAAATTCTTAATTCTTAATTCACCAATTAAGGAAAAAACCTAATTTTTTTTTGTAGATCCTTATGGTGTCTAATGTCATTATCGGTACGATAAGACTAACACAACAAAAACTGCACGAATTCACATATTTTATATCAGCCTTAAAGTATATAAACACCCACATTAATTTACAAATTATACACCGAGGCGCATCTATATATATATATATATATTGTAACGTATAAAGCATAGCGTAGAGATTAAATTTCCACGTACGCATGGCACACTAAAAGGATCGGTTAAGAAGTACGTAGTGGGTTTGGTACGCCGACACTCTTCAAGTATATATATATTTCCTCTAAAAGTGTTGATGATCATATGGAATATATATCAAACCTTGTCTTATAGTCCACAAGTTTGGAATTTCACTTTTAATTATTCAATTTATATGTTTTTAGAAAATTTTGTACCAACCCTTCGAATAGATATGTACGCACTCACATAAACACACATATATATAAAGCTGTATATGTTAATTAAATTATGTTTTTAATTAGAAAGGGTGGGTTTCTTGTAGAACAAGTTAGTTATTTGCGGAGTAGAAAAAAGCTTGAGTGCTTTGTAAAAGATGGGGCTATTCTTCATTCACAAGGCTCCCTTTCCTACTAACTCAAAACATTATTTTTTTATTTTATTTTTGTCTTTGAAGTCAATTATTTGATTCCAATCTTGTTGACACTTGGAACCATTTTCTAGTACAAAAAAATATCCACAATACGCGTATACGGACGTGTATGTGTGTATGTATATCTTTATATGTACATATTATATATGTGTGTGTAAATATGCCAACCAAATGCGCATATATAATATAGAAAACCAAATATGCAGTGCTTTAATGCCAAGAAAGATAGAGATCAATGAATGTTGCTTTGGTACATATATATAGGGTTATGGACCCACTTTCTAAATCCTCCGTTAGACAATGAGAGATGGACGTAATTTCCATTTGTTTGGATTCTTCGGATGAAAATATTAGAAAAGAGATGTAACTATGAATGCATCGAGAGAAAAAAAAAACACAAAGCCGGTGTTTAAATCGAAATTTTATTGCAATGGTTCAATAGATTACGGTCGAACATTTTTATTTTCGTTGAAATTCGATATTTGAACTAGCTAAATATGATTCGATTAGATAATTATCAATATATTACTAATTAATACCTTGTTATATATATATAATTGGAATCTTGAAATATTGTGTCTAAATCCGATGTTCGCAAACGGTTAGAGGAAAGTTGTAATATCGTTGGCTTCTTCTGATCGAAATGTCAAAACCTAGGATGCTGATGTCTTCAAAATTACACCCACACACGCACAGATATATATATATATATATATATATATATATATATATATATATATCATGCAGTTGTATGTGAGAGAGACTGTAGCTTGCTGAGGGCAAAGCCCAAATAATTGAGATGTAAAATGGAGAACCCATTGATGATGTCTCCCCCAACGGACGTCGCTTAAACATATCACACACACACAGATATATATATATATATATATATATATATATATATATATATATGTATATCTGTATATATATTGTGTGTGTGATTAATTCGACCAACCCTTAATTTCAGGCCAACTTGCAAATTTTTTAATGTTTGAAGAGAAAAGCAGAAGAGAATCTAATTAGTATTCAATGAACCACTACAATTCTGCTAGTTTTCTTTTGTTTTCATTCACAAAACTCTCAAATTTTATATTTGAGTAGTTTATTGGTGAATTGGGTTATAGACTTGCATTTTCATATATTATTTTTTGTCGTTAATAATATTTTTAGAAAATACTGAATTTATTTTAAAATATTTATATATATGTATATATGTATATATTCTATTTAATTTTTTGTTAGTTGATATAAAATATTTTATGAAAATTAAATTAATAAAAACAATTAATTTAAAATTTTACAAGGGCTGGCCATGAAAAAAAGGGTCAAGCTGGTCAAACATGACGTCACGTATTCCTAGCGATGTCATCATCCTAGTCCGAGTACAACACAATACGAATACGTGGCATACGGAGAAAATAAGATAATGTTGGGGTTTGTCTTTTTGTGTTACGATTTTATTGGTTTCATTTGTATTAGATGACATACCATACTTATTTTAATTCTTTCTATGTAATTCGAGAAGCTATTATATCATATAATTGGTATATTGAAACTCCATTTCATTCGAATTTAAACTAGATTTTGATAAATAAACTAACCAAAATTAATTCGAATTCTATGTATTTCAGTTAAACCGATCAGAATATATCCAAAAATATTGAAACAAAACTTGTAAATTATAAACGTTTCTAACAACAAATTTTATCTAGTATATTAATTATAGTTATACGAATGAACAATGATAATTTAATCATTTAAAAATTAATAACGCCATTAAAGTATTAGTTGGATTTTATGGGAATATATGATCAATCTCAACTTTTATTTATTTATGTAAATTAATTTAGATGATTGAAAAGTGAGATGTGTGTGTGTGTATACATATCTATATATTATAATATGTATAGCATGGGAGGTTCATTTCTTGTTCCATTGATGTATTTGAATCCGTAACGCTATGTATGTTGAGTCGATGACATATATATATATATTCCAATTCTGTGTGAGAGAGACGAAGAAAGAAAGCAACCAAATCCTGCATTTATACTTTACAAATGTCTCGAACTCTGCGATTCTTCAGAATCAGTACGGACACACACACACATACACACACACACACACACATATATAGGTTTCAAATTAAATTCAAATGCAATTTTAAATCAAACGATATTAATTTTGAAAATCTGCAACAATCCAACTATAAATGAACACGAATTGCACACTTCTAATCCTAATCATGGGTGAGATTAGATTCATCACATGATGGTTCACAGAAGTCGAGCAACCCACGTGGGGAGAAAATTATAAAAAGTCACAAAAGTGTAATTTCTTTAATTCAATTTTTTTTTTATAATATAGGTTTTGTACGAGGGTTTCAAAATTCACCTTTTATTTTTTTTCTAAATATAGATTTCTTGCATGAACGGGTGCCAATAATTTTCCCATATGCGTCCAGATGTTATTGTACATAATAATTTAATGTG